ATTTATTATATTAAATATTTAATCAATCAATTGATTTCAATATAATCTAATTATTTCTTTAGACATAAATAAGTTATGATACAAATTAACACAAACCATAATACATCCAATCAGACACCGGAGCCACAGCTACACCACAGCTGAATACAGTGTCGTTGTAATCGTTTTCTAATGCCTTTGTGGCCACATATCCTCCATAAGACCAGCCCCATATGGCTATGGACTTAGAATCGATATAGGGCACTTTATCACGAAAATAACTAATACAATATGAATAAAAGTGTTCAAATAATGTTTGAGATAATGCGGGAGCCATACAAACCGGGCCACTTCTATAGTGTCGTCGACCTCAACGGTTCCCAATCGGCGATAGATTTCAAACATAAATTTTGAGCCGTGACTTGAGCTGCCTCTGGTGTCCAAATTGGCATAAATTACACTTTTATTTGAGACCAAATAAGCGCCGAATTGATTGTAAAAGTAGTTTTGCGAAACGGATCCGCTATCACTGCCGGGTCCGCCGTAAACGTTGAAAACTAATGGATATTTTTGCTTTGATTTGCTATCGAAATCGTGCGGCACATAAAGCATTACATCGATCTCTATTCGCGTAATATATTCATTATAAAGTATTGTGTAACTAATTAAACATTTTGGCCATAAGCAAAAATAAATACATACCATAGCCTCCCACCGGAACCTTCATTAAAATTCTTTTGGGAAGCGATAGGCCTTTAGTTTTATTCTTCAATTGTTTATTCTCTTTGAGTGTATAGAGGAGGCGGTCGTCGGCAGTACTCCTGATCTCCGATCGCGGAATATGAGGTCCCAAACAGTTTAAGATGTAATGTTTGGCGCCTTCACTAAACTCGATGTCAGACACCAGACATGTCTTATTCTTGTCTGTGGTATATGTGTTCATAAGACACGTGTGACAGACGGGCTTTGTCTTCGCCGACGACTCATTTAACGGAGCGCTCATTAAATGCTTTTCTCCCGGATTTGACGCAAGCGTTGCCATAAAATATCTGTCAATTTTTGGCCCATAATATATGGCTATTGTTAAACACAATTGTCAAACAGAGTTTGATTTCTTACATTTTATCAGTTTCTGGATTTATGCTAAGGATTTCTTTGACTTCAAATATACCGGACGTTAAAAATGATGATTCGGCCGACTATTTGATTGACACAAATGTTTTGTTCAGTTATTCATCGCTTGCATTGTGTAATGCATTACAAGAATCGG